GGCTTGTCGAGGATGTTGGACATCTTGTACTCGAAGTTCTGCGAGGCCACAAGCGGATTAAAGAGCGAGACGCAGCCGCGGCCAGTGTCGACGCAGATCTCACCGCACGCGCCACCGACGCGTGGATGCTTGTCGAAGCTCTTCCAGAGCTCGTAGATGGAGGTGCCGGTGGGCTTGGTACCCACGTCGAGCAGGATGCACACGTTGGGCTGGAGCATGCGGCAGAAGGCGTTAAAGTACCAGCGATGGCTGTTGAGCTTCTTCTTGTTCTGCTCCTTGAGGCAGAAGACCACCTGGATCGGGCAAGGCGTCACCTGGACCTCGCCCTTTTCGGTGACCTGTACGCGTGTGGTGTACTCGAAGATGTGCGCCTCGACGGGCTTCTTGAGGACGTGGTCCTTCATGACGCCCTCGTTGAAGCAACCCATGAGGCCGAGCGCCTTGAGCATGCGCTCGTTGGCCTTCTTGCGGCCGTCGGCGACGATGATGACCACCACCTTCTTCCAGGCATCGGGACCCCAGGTCTTGGAACGCGTGCGGCTACAAAGATGGGCGATGTTCTTGATGACGCCGCCCATGGTGCGGGCAAAGAGGACGTCGTCTTCGTTGTAGCACGTAAGCACGATGGCCATCTCTGTCTCGCGGCCGTAGAGCCAGGGACGAAGGGTGTACTTGTCGTCGATGAAGGTGTCGGGATCCGAGGTGCAAGCCTGGTAGCGCATCTCGCGGAACTCGGGGTTGTTGGAGTCGGACTTGCTGATGCTCTTTGCCACGGGGATGTCGAGGACGAGATTGCCGTCCTGGAGAGGGATGCGCTTGACAGTACGCTTGCGCATGATGCGATCGCGGTTCTCGCGCTGGAAGCTCGAATCCTGGTGCTGGCTGGAGTGCATGGGTGCCGAAGCGATCACAGCGCCGGGTACGCCGAGGCCGCCCATGTTGACGTGCGCCTCGGGCATGGCTGGGGGATGCGCGCCATACTCGCCGTAGGGTGTAGGCGGATAGCCTGGCTGTGCGAGATGGACCATGGAGTGGGAGCCTGGCATGTCGTTGTAGGACATGGAGGGAGGTGCGTTCCAAGCGCCAGGGAGCTGGGTGCTGTTCTTGGAGTAGATGCTCTTCTCGTCGTCGACCTGTTGGTAGCTGCCGGCGCCGCCGGAGCGAGATTGGTTGTAGCTGTTGGAACGATCAAAGGCAGCAGCTCCGCCGTATGGGTAGTGCTGCTGCATGGCTCGCTCATCGTAGTGGGGATCTTGCGAGCCCAGATCGATGCTATGCTGCGAGGGATCCGGATGCAGCTGCGCTGTACCAGGGAGCGGGGCGGGGTCGTAGAGGGGCGTGGCGGGAGCGGCGTCGTACGAGGCGTTGGGGTCCCACTGCCTGGGATGGTCGACGGGGCCGTTGCGATTGGGCTGGTACGAGGGTCGAGAGAATGCGTCCTGGTGATAAGGCGCGGCCGATGCGGGTTGATTGTTGGAGGGACCGGAGCGCTGTCGGGCTGCCGAGAGGTTGGAAGGGACGGGAGGCACTTCGTCAGGGTAAGCGGCAGGCGCATGAGTAGCCGAACGGCTGCTGGACGAGTTGGATCTCAGACGAGAGGGTTGCCTGAGAGAAACCATGAACAAAGGGGACGAGCACGAGCGAGAGAACAGAGTCAGCGCACAGATGCGTAAAGTTTGGTGGCGACCGAGCCGAAATGAAGTCTGCCGCGTCGCACAAAGGGATGCGCCAACTTACCTCTGAGGCTTGATGGGCGCTGCCTGGTATTCGGGCTGTGCGACATCGTAGGATTGCTGCGAGTGGTAGGCTTGCTGCGTGTGGTAGGGTTCCGAGCTGTATGCGCCCGCAGGTGGGGCCTGTTCGGAATACTGGTGCTGATGCTGAGGATCGGCGTACGGGTCGTAGGAATTGGCGTGGGAATTGGGATGGCCTCCCTGGCGATAGTACTGGCTCATGGTGTGTCAAGAAGACGGTGTACGTGCGCACGGGTATCTAGGGTCGAGGGTATCCTTGTCTCTACGCTGGACCACGATGGCGGCGGCTAGCAGCGGTGGGTCGGAGGTGTGCTTTTAGATGGAAACGAGGACGGTGATGATGATGATGGGTTCCAAGGTGGTGGGTTGCGTCGTCGATGCAGGGGTGGGCAGCGAGAGTGTCCCTCAACGCAGTCCAGACGGGGGTCCAAAGTGGCTCTCGTTGGGAGAGCAGCGACGCCAGCAAGGAGGAGCTGCAGAGTTCTGTATGGACGGTGCATGCGTGAGTGCAGACGTGCATGAGGAGGCGCGCCGCCATTGTCCCGCTCTTTGGACGCGCGTGTGCCTGCAGATGGTCTTTCTTTGTGCTGCTCTCCCAGCACTCTCAGATGTTGGCGAGCCATCCGACAGGCGACCCCGACAGCGGCTGGCGAGTGTAGAATCCACTCTTCCAAGCTCCGCCGGATCAGAGTGTTGGATGCCAGCGCGTCCACGCACGTCCGACGAGCGCGGCACTCGCCGAGTCAAAACCCAAAAAAGGGCGCAAAAGGGTCTGTCTTTGCGCCACTTTCTCGACGCGCAGTCAAAAAATAATGTCAATCTCGGCAGCTTTCCTTGCTTCCTGCCGATTTGCGTGAGCGGAGAGGAGAGGGAGCCCCTGTCGGCTATTCCAATGCCCCGCCCGTCCCGAGCAGGCGAGACTCGGAAGACCCGTCGACGGTCTGCCGTTGCGCATGAACGTAGTGGAGTTCTGACGCGATCCGCTCACCGGGTCGGCCGCACGACACGATGAGCCATTGCGACGGCAGTCCCATGTGCTAAGCACGGGCCCATCCGAGAGCGAAAGCCGGGGGTGGAGCGAGGGGCTCCCCGATCGAGGTCCCGATTCCAGGCTACCGATGAAATTCTAGATTTGTGCGCTTCTCCACACATTCAAAATTTCGGATATCGGCACGGCTGGTTCGACACGGTTTCTTCCTCGATGGTGTTGATCGCATCCAAACCTCTCGTCTGCGCCAACAAACTCTTAGACGTCGTTCATCGAAGCATTCTTCATCGGCCTGCACCCTTATTTTGTGCAGCTCCACTATCGACAGGCGGTACGAAAACAGGCAAAGAAGCGCTTCTGGACCGAAACGGATCACCACCTGTCCGCTCAGACCCCTTTTAGGCCAGTGCCACCTACATAATGTCGGATCGCGAGGACGGTGGAGAGGAGACGTGAGTATCCCGCATCGCAGGGCAAATCAACGCTGGCGGCCGAGGACGCCCTGTGTCGCAGCGAACTAACCTTCTGCTCGTCAAATCGTTCCTTGCGTGATATCACAGCTTCTACGAGGAGGAGGAGCCGGTCTACGACGGTGACGACCTGGGAGACGACCATTACGACGATGCGGGTGACGCTGCCGCAAATGGTATCGTACACTCCTCCGCGGGTGGCGATCCATCGACCTCTATGGCTGGACAAGCCAACCAGGACCGCATCACCACCCCGTATATGACCAAGTACGAACGTGCCAGGATTCTCGGCACACGCGCCCTCCAGATCTCGTAAGTGTCTGCAACCTGACCTCGTCGCGACGTGGGAGAGGTCTGTGTCCTGCCCTTCGAGCGTACCCGCAGAAATGCTGACCCAGGACCCTGCTACTCTCGCCATTTGCATGTGACAGAATGAACGCGCCTGTTCTCGTGCCCACCGAGGGCGAGACGGACCCGCTCGAGATCGCCATGAAGGAGCTCGCTGCCAAGAAGATTCCCCTCGTCGTGAGGAGATACCTCCCAGACGGAAGCTACGAGGACTGGACAGTCAGCGAGCTCATTGTTACCGAGTGATTGCATGGGCTGCATCGCTCTCCTACCGCACGCCATCTCTCCTGTCGCAATGCTCGACGATGAGCGCCTTCTGCAGTCCATCCCTATAGAATCACACTGGCACCATGTCTTGACTCGCAGGGGCAGCTTCTCACGCGAACCCCGCGAGCAAGCTGCGTGCTCGTCGAGTCAAAACACCTGGCCCAGCCTCCCACCATTGTACTTTATATCCCTTCCAATGTATCCTGCTCCCAATCCTCGTCCGTGCACGTTTCCGACTGCCCAACGTGCCACTGATCTGCCTCTTGTTTCTCTGGCAGGCGCTAGGAATCTCCACGGACTAACTGGACACGCAGCATGAGCGACTGCTTTGCCATCAACAACAGGTGCACGACAGTCACCAACTCACCGTCAGACCGCAAAGATGCGGGCCGTGAGGCAAGTGTACGCCAGAAGCACCGTCTGTCAGCGATTTGAAGGCAGCTCAAGGACTTTCCTCGTTTTGCTACTGTCAATGGTCCTCTCATAAAGATGCCATTGCCGCTTCTGGAAGTCAGCGTCAGCCCTTTGCGCCGAGGATCGGCAGATTAGAGCGCACCCCAGGCTTGATGAGGAAGGGAAGCTCTCTTGGACTTCGGGTGGGATTTGCAGTGTTACACCGGCGTGACCTTCACACGGATGTCTTGCCGATTTTGTCGAGGCGGCTCTCCCGATGTACAACGGATCGCGATGATGAAGCTCGGCCGAGCTAAGAAAAGTCACATGACCACGTTTTGACCCGCACGCGCGGTGATCGGGCCACCCATCTGCAGACCCAGACACGGGTCAGGTGGCACTGTCACAAGGGCAAGGGGCCGCCGCGGCAGGCAGAGGCAGTACCGCAGTGCCGCGCCTAAAATACGTCAGGTGGAGCAGGCGCGCGGGCGAGGTGGAGAGAGGGAGGGAGAGAGAGAGGGCTACAAAGCTCGCCCAGGCGTTTACACTACCTTCTTCTCTCCCACCAACCAGCTCTCATTTGATCAAGTCAGGTAGGTAGCATTCTCCAACGCCGGTCCTGGAGATCGATGCAACATCATCGCATCGATACCGCAGCGATGGCATAGCAGTCGACATCGCGCAAGCTTCGGTCCACGCCGCTGCAGCTTGGCCTTCCGACCTCGGCACCTCTTCATCGCACAACTCGATCTCCAGTCAGGCAGTCGCGCATCGACCATGCCCACATCCAGTTTCAGAGAGCAGCCTCAGCTCACACATCGCACCTCCCTGCATCCTTCTATCTGAACAGCTTTGTCAACATGCGAGCCAAGTGGAGGAAGAAGCGTATGCGCCGACTTCGTCGTAAGCGCAGAAAGATGCGCGCCCGATCCAAGTAAACAGTTCGCCCCCACTTGCTTGAGGCGGACCGGTTTACACGCCGACGAGAACTAGTGCAACATCGGTTCGGTTCCAACTCGTCTGGTTCATACGTTCGTCAGCTTCAGGATGGTACGTTGCGGCTCTCTTTGCCAGCTTGCAAGCCTGCTTCGACCAGTGGCTTACATTCATCATCGCATCTTGATCACCATAGTCCCTTCTGCGTCTGCGTCTCCGTCTGGATTCATTCGATCCGTTCCGGCACGAAATTTTCATTGGCACCCCCAACATCGGCCATTAACAATCACATTCAAACCCCTTCGTGTCAGGATGGCGTCGCTTGTCTCTGCGTCGTCGTCTCGGCACACTCTAAAAATATAAGCGTTTTCAACACTTTACTTTCGTTGCGTTCGCGTTTGTGGGTACCATGCTTGTTGAGACGAACGGATCTACCAATGTTCACGGGCCGGGCGGAGGTCCATCTCGAAGGTCCAGCAAGACGGATGCTGTTGGGCGAGGAAGAGCCAGGCCTTGGCCATCTGAGGAGGCAGCAGAGCCTGTGCGTGAGGAGATGATGAGACGATGCAAGGTCAGTGAGCTGTTTCACAATGTGGGCGACAGGTTTAGGCGATGGCGACGTACCGAGCCGTCGGGGAAGCGGCTGCCTTTGGGCATGCCGAGGAAGTCGAGCGCCGTGTCGGACTCGATGAGGCCGTCGACGATGACGTGCGCCACGTGCACCGACTTGGGCCCATACTCGCGCGCCACCGACTGCGAACCACACACACAAAAGCCACCGAAAGGTCAGTCAAAGATCCTCGAGTAAGGAGAAGCGGGGGATCGCGACGACGTACCTGACACAAAGCTCGAAGGCCTGACTCTGTGGCACGAAAAAGGACAGTCTGATCAGCTTGTGCGTTAGGCGGCCAGGACGTGCACTGAGCATCCACTTACTGCTTGCGGCGAAACCGGCAAAGCCCTCTCTGCCACGCGTGGACGAGGTGGCGCCGGTAACGAGGAGGCTGCCGCCCTCACCGTGCGCTTCCATCTTGGCAATCACCGCCTGGGCAAACGTGAAGCCGGCGAGAATAGAGCCCTGGACGCCCTCCTGGATCTGTTCGAGCCGCTGTTCGAGGAACGGCCCTCTCTTTCGGATCGATGCATTGTAGCACGCCGTGCCCACCTTCTTGCCCGGCCAGAAGGCGCAAATCTCATCGATGGTTTGGCGGATCGAAGCGTTGTCCAGCGCATCGCACGCAAAGGCTGCCGATAGCCGCTCACCCTCTGCACCGAGTGGCAGATTGTGCGACTGGCGGAAGGCGCGGGCCTCGTCGTGCAAGGCATCGGCCCATGCATCCAGACGGGTTTTCGTGCGCGAAAGGATCGCCGTCGTATAGCCGCGCTTGGCAAAAGTCTGAGCGATGGACAGGCCTAGTCCAGGTCCGACGCCGAGCACGATGACAATGTGCTCTTCCAGACGCGGACCATGCAGAAGGTCCTCGCCCAACCGCTTCACGGGCGCATGCGGCGTAAATTCGGGTACGAGGAGATCTTGCCTTCCCTTCCGAGGGCTGCTCTTGTCCTCTCGCTGCGGCTGTTTGGCAGCTCCCTTGTTTGCACTTGACATTGTCGTGTTCTCCTGGCTCAGTGCCTGCGTATGGTGGTACGAGGGGCCGAAGCAATGCGGCGCTGATGTAAGGGCTTTATCTGTCTCACCGAATATGCGGTTGGCTGTGTTTCGGCTCCAGTACAAGCGGCTACTCAACAGACGATGTCCGGCTAGATGGGTGGGCCGAAGAAGCCGGTTCATGGGGATATGGTGTTGGGCAAGCCGCTGCGGTGGAGCGTGGTGGACCCTGCGAGCTTCATGCGCCCCGCGCGAATAAGTCGGCTTCTCCACATTTCGGCCTTTTTGGCCGGCCGGCAGCACAGGTGCAGTGTGCGGAAATATCTGTCCGCACCTAGCCCAGTGGCAACCAGCCGTGCTCTCAATCACGTCACATCCATCACACACGCAAACACTTAAAGTAGAAGGTCTTCGGGGAAAGGATTCTATATTCTAGGTGCATTCGGCCCGGCGAATCGCCGCGAGCAGGCATCTAGTAGACAGTGCCGTTGCGCACGGGGCCGGTGACGACAAAGTCGGTGCCGTTCTGGCCGAAGCAGGCCTTGTTGAAGTTGGCGTCCTTGTAGGCGTGCGTCTGTTGGAACTTGACAAAGTCGGCCATGGGGCAGAGCGCCTTTCCCTCGGGGCAGCCCTGCGCCTCGCTGTACGGGATGACGGCCTCGTTGAGCAGCGTTCGCACGTACTGCTGCTGGTCATCACCGCATTCCACCACCTCGAACACAAGGCGGGCGGCAAAGGGCGTGATGTGGCTGAGCACGAACGTACGCTCGGGGTCGGCGTAGGTGGGGTCAAGGAAGTCGCCAATCACCTGCGTGTAGTTGAGCGCGGTGAGCACCGAGACGATGATGTCGTCATGCGAAAAGTCGACGTACATGCTCTGGTCGAGCGGGAAGTAGGTCGGGTTGGAGTCGAGCGTGCTGTTCTCAGTGGTAATGGTGCTGGCGTTGAAGGTGGTGTTGGTGAGGCGGTCGAGGAACTCGTTCACCCAGCCGATACCCTGCGCCTTGCCGTTGGGGCTCATGATGCCATAGTCGCCGCTGAACTGCAGATCTAGGTCGTACTCGAAGCCGTCCCACTCCTGCTTGGTGAACAAACCGCAGAAGTTCGAGTAGCCGAGCGCAACCGTCTCGTAGGCGCACAGACTCTGCATGCCGTACACCATCTCGTCCTTGAGCTCGAGCCCCGAAACGTACTGCTGCAGACGCTGCGTGGCGTTGGGCAGGTAGATGGCATCCCACGTCGGTCGCAGGTACGTGTCGCCCACGGTGATCGTGTCCGAGTTGTTGCACGTGTCGTACGAGGCGAGCGTGTTGTTGAACGCATCGGCAGGTCCAAGACCGCTTCCGCCCTCCAGGATCACCTCGAGGTTGATCTTGTTGGGAGCATCCCACCCGAAGAAACCCAGCGTCCAGTAGCGCGCCGAGTCGAGGATGCGCTGCTGGCTCGTCGTGCGGACGACGGGCTTGTGCTTCTCGTCCGTAGCATTGTAGAGCTTGCCGTAGCGGTAGTAGTGCTTTACGCCCGAGTCAAACAGCTGCTGCGTACCGACAGGGTTGAGCAGCTCCGCGCCGAGTTGGTACGTCCAGTTGTTGAGGAAGGAGAGCGGACCCGATGCCGAGAAGTTGGAGTCGGGGTGGTTGAGCTTGGAGACGTTGGCGATAACCTGACCAAAGTACGGCGCTCCCTCGGTGGCGTACGAGGTCGGGTAGCGAGCACCATGGCGGTGAAGGATGTGCACCTGCTTCACGGTGCACGTGTCTGGAAGCACGGCGTTCTCCTTCTGGAAGTCGGCGAAGAGCGGCGAGGAAAAGTAGGGCGACTCGTTGCCGAGATGCTGGAAGATGTTGTAGCTGTCGTTGTCGCCAGCATCGATGGGCTTCCAGCGAGTCTCGATCGAGCTGTCCTTGAGCTCACCCTGGATGCGGTCCGTCACCGCCAGGAAAGGGGGTGCGCCGGTCTTGACGGTGCCGGCATAGCCAACATTGGTGGGGAACGGGTTGTCGGGACTGATCGAGGTGGGCGCAGACGAGTTGGATGCGGCCTGGCGAGGCACCAAAGCAGCCGAGACGGCAGTAGCCACCACGGCCTGCAGGGCCAAGAAAGTGGGGGCGATCTGCATGTCTAGAAGAGGCAGAACGGGGACGAAGGGGAGCGTTGGAGGAAGCAGGGTGGTTGCACGCACAGATCCGAGGAAGGGAGATAGGCCTTTCTATATATGCGGCGCGCCACACCGTTTTTGCCATGCACTTGTAGGGTGAAGAAGAACTTTCGAGGGCACAGGCCAGTTGGCCTGCAGAAGAAAGGATGCCATGGCCGTTGGTGACCGGCGGGGTACACCCACCATCCATGCGGCTCGACTAAGCGAGCCTGAATTTGGAACGACGGCTCCCCATGCGTCGCGCCGGCGGTTTGCGGGATCGGGTGCGCAAATGCGCAGGCAGAAGAAGAAGTCGACGGCAGCTTGGCCGTTCAACTGTGCCGAGAACGGCAACTGCGTGAGGTCGGTGGCGGCCCACGTTCGGTACACAGTGGCACAGTCAGACACATTTGCTCCTTCGTCAAGCCCAGATGTCGTGACAGAAATCTGCCGATCCAAAGCGCCGGAACGTGGACAAGCAGATGGGCTCCACTCTTCGCAGCTCCACTTTCGGCAGCCACGTTCTGCACGATTTTCATATCCCCCGTTTTTGCCCACATTTCCCGCCTTATCTGATTTGCATTGTTGTCCGACATTTCCGCCGGCCCATGACCGGCTCATCAGCGTGCAAGGAAGTATGAAAGTAGCCGCCACAACCCTTTGCTTCCCAATGACAGGCACGTGCGAGTCTTGTCCGAAGGCTTGCATGCAGTAGGAACAAATTCCGTTGAACTATTGCAAAATTAGAGGAGTCCATCCGAGGGAAAAAGTCGGGCTGCGCTTCGTGATTGTGCTGCACTACGCCTTGGAAGCGGGGGGAACGGAAGCGTCTGACATGCCTGCGAACTTGGACTTGCTCCTTAGATAGGCCCCAAATCGATAGAGGAGCAGAAGCAGCGGCACGCACACGCACGCGAGGCCGGCGATCAGCGACACTCCACCGCCGATGCCAAGATTCTTGAAGAGAGGACGTCCAGCCATGATGAAGGCAGTCGCCAGCGAAGAACGGCAAAAGTCGTTGGCGGCCAGAAGCGAAGCCGAGTATTTGGGGTACATCATGTTGATGTACAGCAGCACGCACTGCAGGAAGACGTAGAACCCTAGACTGTAGATGGCCACGCCAATGACTCCCACTATCCAATGTACCGACTCGCGCGATGTCCAGCCGAACAAGAACAGGCCAATGGGCATGAGCACGCTGGCAGGGATGGCGGGGATCAGGCGCGATTCTAGCGAGGGCAACTCGCCCGTGCGACGAATCTTGGCCTCGACGTAGTAGTAGACGTAGAGCATGTAGCCCGCCGCTCCTAGGCTCGTCGTCGCCACCACGCTCAGAAAAGTGAGCCCGGTCGCTCCCAATCCGAAGCCGTACAGCGGCGGGTAGATGAGTGGAAAGGACTCGAAGAAGCTGTAATAGATAGCGTATACCAAAGAAACATAGATGTTCATGAATCCGGTGCCTGGATCCAGAATCGAGATCTGGATCGGCCGTACGAGCGACTCGACCACGATCTTTCGCAGCGAGAGCGATTGTTGCTCGACCTCGGAATGAGATCGTAGCTCCTTCCACTGCGTCGCGGCGCGAAGCCTCTTGGCACGACGGTAAAGGATGTTCTGCGCGCTGGTCTCGGGCATGGCAAAGAACATGAGGATGAGCACAGGAGCGCACAGCCACACCTGGATCCAAAGGGGCCAGCGCCACGTCTTGACCTCTACGGCATAGCCCGTGAGAGGTCCCAGCGCTGGTCCCATGCTGGCGGCAGCCACCCAGAGCGCAATACCGTACGGAAGCTTGAGGATGCTGTACATGTCCTGGAGCGTGGCACCTCCTGTGGCCAGCGCCGGCGATCCAAAAAATCCAGCGAGCAGCCTTAGCGTGATGAGCGAGCCAAAGTTGGGTGCTACTGCAGTGCCGATCGAGAGGGCCAGGTAGATGGTGAAAGTGATGATGTAGATCCAGTTGCGGCCCAGCGAAGCGATCTCGGAGAGCGGCGAAAAGACCATTGCTCCCGCACCGTAGCCGAACACGAACAGAGCTAATCCTAGATTGGCAGCAGCGTACGACACGTTGAACTGCTGCATCACGCCATAGATTGAGGGAGTGTAGATCGCCGAGCCGAGGTAGACCGCAAAGGTGTACACGCAGATCAGCCCGGCGACAAAGGCTTTTTGCGAGGACCGCCAGTTCTGCGGATTTGCAGGATCGGCTTCGCCGTACCAGCCTACCCGATTGTCAGAGTCGGGATCGTCGCCCGAAGGGCTCGTCCGAGTACCATCGATGTGGGAGGCCGAGGAGGAAGGCGTGGTGTCTGAACGCGAGCCCCAGATTGCAGCCCATTCGAGCCAGGCAGGCTTGCTGGAATCGCCGTGCTCGAGCGAGGCGTCATCTTCCTTATCGTTGCCGACTGGACCGCCAGAGACGGTTTCGAGGTGCGGGAAGAACCTGCCTCGGGTCAACGTACGGGCAAGTTGTCCAAATGCTGTGTCACCGATCTGCATGGCGGACCGTGAGCGCAGTGCGGCAGAGCGTGTGGGAAACGAGTGGATCTTTCTGTACGAGGAGGGATGGACAGCGACTTGGAGAGGAGATGGCATAAAACTTTCAACCTCGCGCTGATCTCGTGGGCTTTTATACACGTTTCACACGTTTGCTGTAGTGAAGCATCTGCACAATTCTGCTGCACAGCAAGTGACAAGCTTCATGAAAAGCGAGGTGAGTTTATGCTGCGAGGTGGATTTGTGCTCGTATCGTACGCGGTTTCTTTCCCGAGTCTTGATTATCTTACCGAGCTCGAGAGATCACGCTGAGGATTGACGCGGCTGTTGACTTATGAAAGCCCCACCTTAGCTCCGCGCAGTCGGGTCTAGGAGCCAAAACGGGCCGTGCTACAGCTTGTCGGTGGGCGTCCTGATGCCCGCGGAGGCGGCCATGAGTGCTGTTCGGAAGATATGGCGAGACGGCTGTCAGGACTCATGTGAAACTCTGGATGTGCGGGCCTTCACTAATCCCGCGCTACGGCTGACGCGTGGCGCTGTCTGGCATCTGCTCAGTAGCTTTGATGGCCACCGCGAAACTCCGGCCGGAAAATTTGCGTCAAAGCGTAAAAATCCGGCGTTCCGTGGCTCGCACAAATAGCATCTTAGCGAGCTGGCGCTTTGCTTGCCTGGACATGCTGTTTGCTGTTCGAAACTTCCGCATGCTTTGTTGATATTATGATACAGTCCGGCTGCCCTGCAGGTGGCCCAATGATCGGATAACGCTTTCACGCAAACAAAGTCCCGTCAAGTCAGGAGGAAGGACGTGATGGAAATACCTCGCGGTTCTTTTGGTGGATCTATCTCCTCCCGAGAACGCCCATTACGAGATCAATCCGATGGTTTGCTCATGCGGTTAAGCTAAGCCTGCGTCCTTAGCATCGAGTGTGTCGTCTTTACTCTTCTCCAGCGCGCAGGCTTCGAGGCGAGGAAAAGATGTTTCATTATACAGTAGCGCTCGATAAGGCGAGCTTGAATGGATGCTATTACGAGGAGAGGTACATTAGTCAGAACTTGGACTTGATGGCAGTGGCAGCCCAGTCCGCGTAGTCGCCGATCGTCTGTTCGAGGCTCTTGTACTCGATGCCCAGCACGTCGCGAGAGGCCGAATTGTCGTAGCCCGTAAACTTCCTCTTCCTCTCCTCGGCATCTGCAGGAATGTCGACTCGATCAAAGGGCAGATCTGGCTGGCGGTCTTTAGCCCAATTGATCGCTTCGTGGGTGAGAGGCTGTCCTGCCACCAGGAGGAATCTGCCACCATCGGCTTCTTTGCGCTGCATGGCCCGCAAGTGACCGCGCACTGCATCCTCGAGGTCGACAAGCGCCATGGGCTGTGCGGACTCCTGCACAGGACGAGCTGTGAGTGCTTGCCACAGCATACCGTTTGAGCCGCTGATACTACCTGTAACGGGCCTGCCCACAACAAATCCCGGATGAACAGCTGCAAAGGCGAACGACGGTTTGTGCTCGCGCACAAAGTCCCAGGCAGCTCGTTCAGCCAGAGTCTTGCTTGCGGCGTAGATGATCATCGGATTCGTACTGCCAGTTGCAAGCCCCGCCCCGAGCTTAATGGCGTAGTCGTAAGTGATTGGATTCCAGTCTTTCTCCGTGTAGCTGCCGCCGGTATCGACACGACTGGCGTCCAAGATCGAAGCAACACTGGCGGTCAAGACCACTTTCTGAACTGATGGCGTGACACTTGAGTCCTGCAGTAGCGTCAGTACGCCGAGCTTGGCTGGATCGAGGAAGTCGCGCTTGGCATCGGTCTTGCCCTCGCCCGGAAGCGGAGATGCCATGTGGAAAACATGCGTCACATCTGTTCCCTCCCAAAAAAAGCTCGGATCAGAAACGGGTTCCCGAAATCAGTGATGGTGAGAGTGCGTACCTTGGAGAGTTTCTTTGAATGCGTTGGGAGCAATGATGTCGGGTACAATTGCGAGTTCCAGCTTGCCTACGGTGGAGGCAGGCAGGGCAGCTCGCAGATCGTCGCCCGCCTGTTGACGTCGTACAGTCGCACGCACACGTTTGCCGTCTTGGAGCAGCTGCCGAACCAGCGCAGCGGTAATGTAGCCTGATCACCCCAACACAAGCCAGTCAGTATCTTTTCCGCTACACTACTCATCGTGGTGGGATGTGCTGCGTACCATTGGCGCCCGTCACGAGGAAGAGCTCTTGTACCGACATGATGAATCTTCTTGTAAGCGTGTGGGTTCTAAGCCTCGAGAGATAGCAGATACGCCCCTCCTCTATTATCTGAGCTCTAACCAGCGTGGCTTTATACATGACAGCCTCCGCACCAATCGACATGAGCCCGTCGCGAGCATCCAAGACGAGCAGCCCGTGCGCACACTTTGCTCGTAAATGCCGGACTCCTCGGCCCAGCACTTTATTGCCGAGACACCTGTCAAAATTGCCTACGCGCTTTTGTTCTCAAGGCGTGCCGCGGACGGAAAACTAGGTCGGAGCTAAGTTGGCTCTTCAAACCCGGGCTGCACACGTTGCCGCCTTGTATCTTTCCTGGCGACAAAATCGCATCTCGTTCATCGTTACTCCAGACATCACCCGGAGGTAACAGAACAAGCGTGGTTTGCCTCGCATCGCGTGCTTTGCTGCGCACAGGCACGACAACGATTCGCTCTCGGTATCTGAAATACGTGCTAAAGTCGATTCGAATTGCTCATTCCGGGCCCTCTTGGAGGAACTCGATGACTTGCTTCCACAGCTTGTCCACCGCTGCACTGTCGACGTGCAGTGCAGGGCAGATGCCGGCGTCCTTCGGGTACACACTCGCTGTGCTGTCTTCGGTGCGCATGGCTTCGGCCCGCATGGAAGCTTCCACCAGGCTGTGAGAGGGAGAGTCAACTGGGCCCGTACGCACATCTGCTCCTGCCTCGATCGACAGCGGCGTCAGCGGGGCACTGAACACGCTCAAGCTGCTGGCACTGTGATCCTCCGTAGCGATACTTGCGCTGCTGCTGGTGCTCCCGCCGCCAAGCGTCGCCATGCCATCGAAGCTCCCGTTGAAGTTGTTGCGGTGTTGCTCCCAAAGCCGTGCCTCGGCTCGAAGCAGCGTGGATACGAACTCGACATCGGCTTGCGTCGCGGGTGTCTGTGCATTGACCCGCACCATGGCTTCGCGCACACGTCCGAGCGAGATCTGACGTGCCAGACCGGACCCTCCCGTGCGCGTCTGATGCATGAGATCGGTGCAGATGAGCATCGAAGCACGCACCACCGAGTCAACGTTGATGCGTAGCGAGTTGGCCACGTTGCAGCGGTGACGCAACCGACCCTGCAGGTCCAGGATGTGGTTGGCGAGCGCCACGATTTCAGCCGACACGGCCTCGCCAAGCTGTACTTCGTAGAACCCAAGCATGGCCGCAAAGATGGCCTGGTGTAGCAGCCAGCGCTCGATCGAGTAGCGCTCCTGGCAACCGCTCTTCGGCTTGCCCGCATTGACAACGTAGATCTCGTCGATCCGGAAGCCACGTGGAAGCGCATCGATGAGCTCGCTGAAGCTTTTCTCCACCTTTTCGAACGGCAGAATCCCACTGGCGTGGCTGCGCAGCTTCTCGTCAACGAGGCTGCGCACGAGCGTGGCGAGTCGAATCAGCGGCTCCGTCCAGCGTACCGGAAGCCACTTGACACTGGGCTCCTGCAACGACGTTAGAGGCAGCTCCGAAGGGATGTGCTCGAGTGCTTCGTCGCTGACGATCAGCGGCATGCGGGTAGTAAAGTGGTGCGGATGCAGCAGGTACGAGCCCTTCTGCGGCGAGACAAACCAGTCGCGACAGACGAGGAACCACCAGGCTCGGACGCCCATCTCGTTGTCTGCCGTCACCGGAACTTCTGCATTGATATGGTCCAACCTGAGCGCCTGAGCTGCTCGGACGGCATGCAGACGCATCTGTTCCTTGAAACCTGCCGAGTCGAGGTCGTAGACGATAGTGAGGATGCACGCCTGCAGCTGCTGCAGCGTGGCCTCTGAGCTGAACACCATGCGCTGCAAGAGCGGCACGGCGAGAGCGTGAAGAGCGTGTTGACGTTCCAAGGGCGTCATTGAAGCGCCCAAATCCTGGCACATGGGCATCAGATCCGACTCGCTCGCGTCATGCGGCGCGAACTGGATCGCCATGGCAAGTGCTAGAAGCACCACGGCCAGCTCATCCTCTCCTAGGGTCTCGCTGGCATCAGGTGAGTAGAGTCGTCGAAGCATCATCTGGAGCGTGGGCAGATGGATGCAGCTGTAGACCATGCTCGAGCAGCGCCAGTAAAAGTGGGTGTCGATCACTCGCTCGGCCACATTAAAGTCACCGATGGTGTTGCGTGCGCGCTGGGCCAGCTCCGCCGACACGCGTCTGGAGCGGCTTCCGCCACCTACATCCAGGTCAGATACGGAGGAAGTCACGGACGCTGCATATCGGCGAGTCGGCGTGCGGCTGTCTTGCGCCACAATGGAGGCAACCTCGTTCTCGGGTGTCGACACGGGCTGAGCAGCGTGTGCCAGGGGTCGATGAGACAACGAATACGGCGAGGCGCGATTGAAGCTAAAGCTGTCGCGACCCGCGCTGGACACGCTCCTGGCGCCTTTCGAGGCATCCGATGTGGCCTTGCGGGTGCGAGCCTTGCGCATGGCACGTTCGCATTCGTCAGCTACCTGGTTGTCGACGCAGTGAGCGCACGGCGAGGCGCCATCGCACCTGATCTTTTTGATGCGGCATCGGACGCAGCTATGGTGGAGCATGATGAGCAGCAGCCTCTCCAACACGTGTGCAAGCTCTCGGTCCGTTTACAGATGGTGGTAGTGATGATGGAAGCCGCGTCCCGATGGGAAGCTGGCTGCACAACGTGACTGTGACGACGAACACGGCGAAAGAGGCGGCGCAGCAGGCAAGCTCGAGAAATGTCCGCAGCGTCGGAATTTCCGGCGAGCACGATATTTCCGCGCGCTCTGCAGGCCATCAAACGCGCGCCTCGCTCCACACTCATCCTTCCCGCACGTGCCCCGACCAGCCGAATCACGACACTCGTCTCCTCGAATGAAGGCAATAAGCATTGTTCTTTCATTTGCTCTTTGAATCTAGTGTTGCTCTATGTCCGCAGGAGTACACGTATCAAGCGGCGGTCAAGCGCGTAGCCTCGTCGTGGGGCACGGCGGTGACGACGGGCTCAGCCACGGTTGGCTTGGCAGCAGCGGCTGCCGTGGCACTGCTGACGGTGGAGAGAGTGGACTCTTCCAGCATGCCCGTGTGTCGCACCGGATCAGCAGCTCCGTCTGCCTTGGTCGCAGGCAGGTAGGCGGTGGAAGGGTCGGGTGTGTACAGCTCCTCGCTCATGGCGCTCTCGCTGCCATGCTTCATCAACGCGCCACTCCCGGGCCGGCTGTTGGTGCTCTGGCCGCTGCCGAGGAAGAACGAGTCCTCAGAGCATGGCGTCTGCGAGTCGGCTCGCTGGATCGGCGCCGCTCCCGGTCGCTCCCAACCATCCTCCTTGTCGGTTGCCTTGTCGGTCGCTCTGTTCGCATCGCCCAGGCTCGCCGTCGAGTCCTGATTCTCGTCGCCGGGGGAAGCAATCAATGTGACGCTGCCAGGCTTGCGAACGTCGCTGTCGGTGCTGGTGTTGTGCCCAAATTTGTAGGCCGAGCGCGTGCCAAAGCCGCTCTTGGCCATCTCCTGGTTGACCGGTACAGGCGACGCATTAGACAGATCCAGCCCCTGGATACGCGGAGCCAGGCCGCTCACATCGGCCGCATCCTTGTCCGTGACCGGGTCCGATCCATTCGCGGATGCCACTTCGGGGGCGCTGTGGGCTGCCTCCTTGCTCGACTCAGACGGTGGCTCCTGTACGGCGAGCTCGGTCGTCTTGGCGTCCGGGTTCTGGCTGAGCTGCTTGAGCTTGTCCATGTCGACGATGGGCATTGTGCTGGCGTCTGGGAAGTTGGCCTTGGCGCTGTTGTCCTTGGCGGTGTCCTTGGCGTCGCTCTTGCTGAAGCTGCTGAGGCGGCGCAAGAGCGCGCGAATCGGTCGCTTCTTGGGAGCGGGTCGGTCGGCGGCCTCGAGGGCCATGCTCGAACGTCGGCTTGCACTGGCACTCGCCGGCGCGCTTCGACGTGCAGCGTCCTGCGTTGCGGGCAGCTCGACCGCGCGGAAGGCGACGGGTGAAATGTCCGCGTCACTGTCGGCCGAAACGGCTGCAGACACGGGCGAGAGCGCCAGCGTGCTTGTTTCGCCCGTCGGCGTGGCGTAGGCGCTGGCTTCTGCGGACGATGCAGAAGTAGCGACAGCATGCGCAGACGAGCCTTTGGCGGAGGAGGCTGCGTCCGACTGCTCCTTGCTTCGGCCAGACCGGAACATGGTCGAAAGACGACCTGCCTTCTTTTGCTGCTTTGCGGGAGCGAGCGAGCTGCGTGAGCCCTTGTCAGAGATGGCCAGCGAGTTGCGTCGGCTGGGGACATGTACGCTGTTGTTCTCTGACTGTACCGCCGATGTCGGCTTGCCAGCAAGAAGAGACGCATCGGCAGCGTCAGCCACCTCGCTGCCATCGTTGGCGGCATCGGCAGATGAGTCTTGCGCGGCGGCCTCCTTCTTGAGGTTGGTGAAAGAGGGACTCGGGCTGGGTGCGCGGCTGCCAGCGCGGCTACCGAAGGGCGTGAGGCGCTTGCCGTTCTCCTTGGGAGGCTTGGTGAGCCCCTGGAGCTCGGCCTGCGGGTCGTTCATGGTCATGGTGAGCACGGGACGACGCTTGGCACTTGGCGAAGTCTGCGCGGCGGACCACGTCGAGGCTCCAGACAGGCTGCGCGACACGGCGACCTGGTTTGGGGTGTGGTAGACGCTGGTCTTGTTGGCGTAGGCCGTGGTTGCGTCGAAAGGCGAGGATTCCTGGGTGAGCGGGATGCCGAACGGATCCAGGTTGTCCAACGACGAAACGCCGGCTCGCGTGGCACCTGGAGGCAGGCTCGGGTAAGGTGAACCGCCGAGGCCGAGGAACATCTCTTGGGGGACGAGGCCATTGGTGGGATCGGCAGGCAGGCCGGATGCGGTGGAGGGGGATCCAATGCCAGCCTTGCTCTTGGCATCGCTGGCGCGGTTGCGTGGGTTGGAGCGGGAGGAAGGCGAAAGAGGGGTCATGGGTTTTAGTGCGCCGGATGCGGGACTGACGGGGATGATGGAGTCGTCCTGGAGGGGCGAGTCTTCGAGGATGCTGGGGAAGGAGCGTCTGCGCGGGTCGTTGAAGGCGGCGGCCTTGGATCGCAAAGGCGACGAGCTGCCACTCCGACTAGGTCTGGCGAAAGGTGGCTGGAACTGCTGCTGCTGGAGCTGTTCTGCAATGGCTTCGGCGGCAAGCTCGCGTGCGAGCAGGTCGAGGTCGCGTGTGTCGGCGTAGCGGCGTCGACGGGTGGCCGGGGTGGTAGTGCCGGAAGAGGTGGTGGAAGCGATGATGGGGCTGTTGGAGGTGGGCGTGGGAGTCTCTGATCCTTCCGAGGTGTCCTTCTTTTCTCGGCGGGCGCGCGCGCTCATGGAGCGGAGGAAGCTCTTGCGTCTCTGCACGCCGGCACCTTGTCCAGCCGCGTCGGACTTGGAGCGGTCGCGCTGCGAGGATGGTTGTGAGGGCTCGGTCAGCGACGCTTGAGCTGGGGCGACGTCGGCCTCTTGGCTTGCGTTGGCGTCTGGAGAGACAGTGGGTATGGGGGAGAGGCTGGAGCTCATGCGCTTGGGAGAGGCGGGCGCTGAACGACCTTTCTTGCGGGTCTCTACGCGCGCCTGCTGGCGGGCGGCCTCGAGGACGAGCTGGGCAGCGCGTGCGACCATGTGGTTGTCCGTGGTTGCGGAGCCATTCTCGCCGTGGGATGGCTGTCTGCTCTTGGGTGGAGGTGTGGTGCAGGGTGTATCGCCATCTGCGACCGTAGCGCCGTCAGGATGGGCCAGAGCGATGGTGTCGTCGCTGATGTGCATGGATGTGCGCTCGGCGGGTGCAGGCTGTTCTGGATACGGTTGCGAGGGCGGTGAGGAAGACTTTGTCGGGGTAGCAGTTGCAAGCACGTCCGGATTGATGCCACTGGCGGTGAGTGCGGCGATGGTCTGGGAGACGGTGGGGAGTTGGGATGTTGAGGTGGGTGGGGAGGGAGAGTCGGCGGTGGAGGCGGTGTTGGTGGTTGCGGCGGATGATATGGATGGGCGCTCAACAAAGATGGGCTGACCAAGGCCGCGTGCCTGTGCATGCGACTGGGCTGCTGCGGTGCTGCCGGAGGCGAGGGCGGCTTCTGCCTGGAGGGACTCTGCGAGTTTGCGATCGGCATCTGTGGTGTCGAAGGAGTCCATAAAGGGCTCGGGGGCCTGTTGCGGTCCCCAATTGACGCCGCTCCTGAACTTTCCTGTGGGCTTGCTTAGTTCGGCCAGATTGGCTCCCGAGGTGGGGTCTGCCGAGAGCGACTTGCGGGATGCACGGGAGGAGATGCGCCTGCCGATAGAGGGGCGACTGTGTGGCTCGTGTGCATCGTTGGGGATGTCGGCGGGTGGTTGTGTGCGTTGGGAAGCGGAGCGGGTGAAGCGCGCCAGCACGTTGGCGCCGATTGAGCTTGACGAAGACCGGCGGAAAGGATTGGCTTGGCTGCCGAAGCGGGATGTGGAGGGAGGGGCGAGAGATGGGGAGGAGGAGGAGGGGACTGCATGTGCGGTTGTGCTTGCGCTTGCGCGTGCGTGTGCGCGTGATGCAGCCTCAGCCGCAGCTGACGAGGAAGCTGATGGTTGGGAGTCCATGGACGAGTATATGGAAGCAGACGGAGCCAACTTTGTGGTGCAAGGTCTTGGCGAGTGCGCAAGCAGGCTCTGGCGCAGCCGATCAGCCGAGCTTGATTAGGTGGGAAGGCTGCTGCCGCCGACGGAGACGCGGATCGAAACAAGGTTGAGTTGATGCGCGGCAGCGGATGAATGACGCAAGCTTGGCGCAGTGTGAAATAGCCTGTGGTGTTTTAGCTTGGCGCGACGGGGGCGTATGGGGTTGTACGTGCACGTGGAGAGCGCCTCGGGGTGGTTGAGTGCGGTACGACGACCGGGGCTGGGAGAGAGCGGATCAGAGCATGGATGGCGAGCTCGGATGTTGACGATGGATGATATGGTGGACGGCCTTGTGGGAGCGGGGCCCGTTGGTGGTGATGAAGATATGACGAGGAGGGGTGGAGAGAAGCGGGAAGGAAGGTTGACCTAGCTCACTCGCCCACCAACCACGACGACGAGTGCAAGGCGGATTGGATGGACGGTGCAGCGCCTGTTGCTCTCTCACTCGCAGCCTGGGTTCGGTCAGGGCGGCGCCGATCTGGGCGAGTTCATGCAGGTTGGGCAGCTGGTGGAGCTGCAGGTTGCACTTTTGAATTTCAAAGCAGCTCTTTCGCTCTCCTTTTGGCTCTCTCGCTTCGGGCTGCATTCCTCGACTTTGCTCGGCTGGCTTTGCTCGTCCCCTCTTTCTCTCCGGAATTTGGCAACGGTGGTGGGTGCAGACGCGGTGACGCAGTTGGCACATCTGCAGATCCTTGCGCTCTTGGCCGCGTGCAGCTTTGGTTGCACGCCTTTTGGCCCCGCCCTCACCACCGAGTTTTTTGATCGGCTTCACATCGGTAGCTACAAATTGCACTCGAGGTCCCGCGGGGAGACGGCGACCACGGCAGATGTGAAATAGCTCCGCAGGGGCACAGTGTTGCATGCAATGCCGCGTTAGGCGGGTCTGCAGACGTGTGCGTGCGCCTGTAAGCACCAAGCGATATCGATGGGCTCCGCATACCTGCATGCACCACCACATGTTCGTTCGGCTGCTGCGTGCTCGGGTCCCAGCTCCTTATCGGAGAGTGGCAAGCTGGTGTGGGCAAGGCTTTGCGGCGATCCGTGTGGAATTGCGACCGGTCAGCTGCCAAGAGGGTCAGCTCGTCAGACAAGCAAAGCCCGCATCGCATCGCGTCTGGTAGGAGCGGGGATCCTAGACAGCTAGCTCGTCTCGGCCATCCCAGTTCTGCCGAAGATGGGGTCCGCCAAGCCAGATTGGAGCCGAAAGCTGGCGTTGCCTCCACCAGCCATCTCGAAAGGTGAGGAATGTCGATGGCCGGCGCCGCTCAATTTCGCCCTTGTTTCGGCGCAAGTCCGTGGCCGATGCGCAACGCCGCACTTCCAAAGCTGCACTCAAGATGCACCGGTGAAGTCATGTTGTCGCACTTTGCCGCCCCTTTCATGCGTCGTGTCGGGCTTCGATCGGGTTCCGCCCTCGAGATCATCACCCATCCTCCCCCGATTTCACACACCCCCCCCCCCT